CCACCCACCCACCCGTCCGTATGACAATTTGTTTAGTTTCCCGCTTATCTTCTCGGCTGTGATTCGAATCTCACTCGTATTTTCTGTTTGACACAGGAGCAAAAGAAAAAGATAGAAGGGGTTTCTGCATCCAATCCGCATCCCTCATCTTCCACAGCACAAATCAGTTCATCAGACGTGTCGAGTAGCAGTAGTAGTGAATCATTGTCTTCCTGGCAGCCAGTCAGGATGAACGCATCACCACCTGTTACAACAACCTTTAAAGGGAAAACGATTGTGACCCAAGCACAAGTACACATACCTGATGTTGCTGAAGATGATAATGTGATGACTACAAGTAGTGATAGTAATAAAACAGAAGACATTGAAACAATGACATTTGAAGAAGGAAAAGTAAATGGAGAATCTCCTCTAGAACATTCACAAAGAATTGAAAATATTGATGAAGATGACAATAAAGTTGTTCAAAACACGACTGAATGTAATCATCAAAGGGAACTTGAAATATCAGAACAAGATATATTGAATTCTGCTGGTAAAACTACCAAACAAAATAGTAATGAAGTTGTTGAATCTGTTCTAACCGGTTTCACAGGACAAAAACCAGTTTCATTAGAAGGTGAACAAAGAGCAACTCCTTACGAGAATGACGACAGTACTACAGCCCTTGGTTCAACTGATGATTCGTACACCACTGCTGAGAGCTCTTTTTCTGAAGGATCAGAACCAGTGGTAAAAGATGAGGGTGAAATAGGAGAGGACGATAGACTGTCGATTGAAAGTACCACAAGTGTTTCAGGCGAAAGTATGTCAACAGAAATGAGCGCTGAAAAACTGACAGACAGTGTAGCAGATACGTTAGATAATAGCTTGGAAGATGATACAAAGATGTCTGTGGAAGGCGCGCAAATTTCAACTGCCTCAGACACAACAATGCAATCCGTTGAGGGTGCGCAAATGCCTGGTACCTTAGACACTCAGGATACGCTAGCAAATGCAGTGACTAATGTTAGTGTATCGGGTCAAAACATTAAGAGAACAGTAACGCCAACAGCACAGAAGAATGAGGCTTCTGATTTGAATTGTAAAACATCCTGTCGGGAAGGTCCACATAAGACTGTTGCTATGCCAACCTGTCAGGAGTGTCCACATAAGACTGTTGCTATGCCAACCGATATTGAACACATCGCTGATCCTCCTACAACAACGAGAGCGATGAATCATTGTGAATCTGATAATCGTTTAGACCAAGCATCGACTGAGCGTAGACCGGTACCCATCGCAAGTAGTCAGTCATTACCCGTACCTAAACACAAACTGCTTGAAAGGACGTTAGAAGCCGAGAAGGCCAGCCTCAGCAGCGTACCGACAGAGTATGGTAGCTGTCCAACGTCATACACTACGGCACGTGACTCGAGTAGAAGTACTGATGATGTAAGCACTGATAATGATAGTTATTTGAGTACGGATTACGAGAGCCTTACTGATTCAGAACCAAGTACAACAGAGCCACCTCCTGCTCCATTAGCGACTACAGACGCTTCCAAGACAGAAATAGTTCCTGTTTCTAGTTCAATGGTGGATCTTCTTTGTTGCATACAGCGTCTGACATCCTTTGCTTGTCATCTGTGTAAAGTGTTGTGTCCGACCGAGCGAGTAAGCCCCGGTAGTGACGGGCAGGTGGAAATGGAGGAAAATAGAGCTACGACAATGGAGATTAAGACGGCGATCTGTGGAAAACTTATTAAGGTAAGATTATTCAAGAGATTCATACTCAAGAAATGCGTGAAAAATGAAGAAATGAATAATTGGCTTGCTGGCAATAGCGCAGGGTCTGGGAACGAGGCCTTGTCATTGTCTGTACGAGGCTAATACCCTTTCTTGGTGTGTAATACTTAACTCACATAAATTTGTTTCCGCTGCAAACCTCTCAACTTTCAGTTCTTCTCCTAGATCCGCCCCTTTGTGCTATTTATTAGATTGAGTCATATACGATAGCTCTCTAAATGCGGTTTCCGGTTAGCGCTTTGTTCAAGCTCAGACCAGCTCAAGCAGACGCTCTTTGGTCTCGTAAATCTTAGCACAGGGTAACAGTTAAACTTTAACTCAACTGGTTAACGCAGTCGCTAGCGCAGACATACATTCAACACTTTACATTAACGAAAATAAGTTTATTTCTTAAGTTACAGCATAAACAAGGATTCGATTCATGCATATCTCAGTGTTCAACTGACGTGAGGCTATCGTTATGAATACATGGATATCTGTATAGGATACTCATTTTGTCAAGTCTTTCTTTACAGCGTTGGCTTAGATCGCTCATTCACTGTGATGATCAACACATCTATCATGATCAACACATCTATCATAGGATACTCTAATAGAATGTACGAGATGATTGTTTTTATTATGGACAACACTATCATGAAGCCAAAAATTAGTTACCTAGTTAGTTAACATCTCCGTTGATGCGCAGTTTTCATTTTTATAATCAAAGACTCGCTAAAATGTTGTACATTAATGAACAAAGTTATTCGTATTTTACAACACTCTTTAGTTTTACCTAATTGTCGTAACTTGTTACATTGATTATTTAGTTGTTGCCAACAGAATCAGAGTCATTCAAAATGTAATATCATTGGTTTTACTTTCGGTCTTCTTGATGTATGAAGCTCTTCACCATATTTGATCTGTGTTTCTAAGCTCTGTTTAATGGAGTCTTTAGTGCTTGTTGTGGACATGTTATCTTGTGTAGGGGTTTTCTTTTCGTCGATCTTCTCGCCGGCTATGGTGAATAGATGCCAATCGATATTCTTGTGGTTTGTTACTATAGCTTGTTTAACTTCGTGGCTCGGTTCTGTCGGCCCATTCTCTTGTGAAGGATTATTCAATACTGCTGACTTATGATCTTCCACTTGTCCATTCAAGCTGAAGAGATGCCAATCGATGTTTTTGTCACTTAAACCTTTTGAAGGCAAAGCTGCATTCGGTTGTATCAGCTGGTTGCTCTCATCTCCAGCAGAATACGGTGTGTCTTGTGATCTCTCATCTTCACTTACATCAATATTTTGTCCAGTCAATTTAAGCAGATTCCAGTCAACGATTTCGTCTGACGAGACTTCAAGAGGTGTTTCAGTGTTTAACATTGGCTCAGATCGTGGAACTGACTTCACATAGAAAACTCGTTCAATTGATTTCGTGCGTTTTGGAGGGACCCTTGCCCTTTGTGTTACCGTATCTTCAGCAGGTCCCTCTCTCGGTATCGTATCTGGGGTCCTTGCTCTTTGTGTTACCGTATCTTCACTAGGTCCCTTTATCGGTATCTTTTCTGGGGTCCTTGCT